TCGATCCCGACCCTGACGCCTGCTGCATATTTGGAGTTTGCGTGTCTCTCTCCCCGTGGCCGTGTGGATTTTTCTCTCGGTTCTCTGGTTTTTCCCTCCACATTTAGAATCAACTTGCGTTTAGAGTATTTGGCTGCAATACATTTCCACATGATAAGCCACTTCGTTGAGCTATCATTTGTGGGCAGGTCGCTTCTGCAAAAGAGCTATATAGCTCAGTGGGCCCTATTTAGTAAAATAAAAAATAGTTCATATTTTTTTATTTTATAGATGCTATATAAAGGCATTACACGATTTATGGGTCAGAGTAATGCGTGCTATTCACCTCGCAGCGTGTCTGCATCACCGGTTTTCTTGTTCCCAGTTCATACTTTATAACGGTTGCTAGCGTGTGCTCCAATTTGTCCGCATTTATTGTGTTATTTGCCATTTACTTCAAGCACCCCCTTCAAGATGAGTCGCAAGCGTAAATCAGCATTGCCGGCTATTACTCAGCAAAGAAATCTCGGCAAACTATGAGCCTGCGAACGAAGCGGGACATCGTGAAGAAGGCACGGGAAAGGAAAACGCTTGGTAGAGATTGCGTGTTCCCTCAACTTAGCTGCATCAAGTGTGATAACTGTTATCAACAATTTCCATAAGATCAAGAGCAGTAAAGTATTATTGTTAATGATTATGTTTTCATTGCTGTAAAGGGAAAGTAGCCGATATGTATCATTCTTGCATTACGAGAACGTGTCCTTAATTTTTTTCTTTCAAATAATCGGAATTCTTTTTTCGATCGACGATTTTCCGATTTTACGGACCGTTTTTCAAAGAATAAATCCTAATCGTAAATTGAAGAATGCCTATATTAAGGAATTTTCTGGGTGAAATATTTTTAGAAAAATTATTTTAAAAATAAGTTGTTCAGTTTAACACGTAGGCTTTCACGACCAATATCATCCATAATACAGGGTTTTTGGGTTAGATCGCGTAAATATAAATGTGTTGTTAAATCCACCACCACCCGACATAGTCAATTAGCAAGGTTTGTCACGTAAACAAAACGTGCCAATTCGTTACTCGTACAGCACATCGGTGGCGGGTTTAATGACACATTTATATTTATGCGATTATAACCCGAAAACCCTGTATAATTATGGAAGTTGTTCAGTGCTTGGCAAAGATATTTTTTTCTCAGGGTCCCTCGCCAGATTAAGTAGAGGGGGGACACTGAATTAAATAGTTCCCATCAATTCTGTTGAAGTTGTGTTCAACATTCGTGTAACTTCAGGGCCACATTGTAGATATCTAAGCCACACTTTGCTCGGGTAAATGTATTTTAAGGATTATTTAAAACCTACCGCTGTCATATTTTATTGAACCTAATCCCTTCAAACATGCTGGTCTACTTACTATGCAAAGTTGAGAAGCAGTATTCATTTCTCTTCAGAAAAAAATATTTGAAATACATTGCTTTGCGTTCGTTTTTCCTTTGTTAAAAAGATGCACTTTCAAAGCAATGGTGTTGTTTTGAAAGTGTCCCCATAGGCAGCTGTGTCGGATACAAGATCGCCTGCTGGCTGTGCCACCACCATGCCTCTACCCTCGGTCGTCCACCGCACCTCTCTTCAACTGCTGTCTCACTGCACTACAGGTCACAGTGCAAATCTCCACAGCAGAGCGACTCACAAGCTCTTCTCTACACCAGGGACCAGGGACGTCAATGCCGGGCGTCGTTTCTCTGTGGCAGCCTCCCGCCGTCTGGAACGCCATCTCGCTGCACATTCGCAGCAGCATTCAATCTGCGCTGATTTTAAGAGACGCTAAAAGGCCCTCAACTCGTTCTCTCCTGGCTTTCGAGTGAAGAATGAGCTTGGCTATGTGCCTCTGAGTCACAGCCATTTACGTCTGTGAAATATTGTTCACGTTACAAATTGCATTAGAATACTGAAGTATAAAGGAGCTTAAATGGAAAGGACATCTGGTTGCAGTCATTTTTATTAAATGTATCAAATAATATCTTAGTAGACTGCATTTCAAAACCACAATTCTGGTAACCACAGTAAAACCAAGGTAAAACAGAGTGAATTCATGGTCATGAATTTACAACACTTGCATAATATGTCGCGTCCCAACCAACTGGACCATACCCTTCAAACCCCACTATTGCTCAAGCCCACAGTGAGACCACATGCTGTGCTAAATAAATAAATATAATCCTTCCAAAATGCATTATTCCATCATCACTGTTCGTCTCCATCTGCATCCATGGTGTTGAAATGCAACGTGAAAGATTAAAACTGGGATAGAGTGATCCACTATCACGTTTAGCAACAAAGCCAGCTCCCACAGTGTCCTTGTGCTGTGTTTTGTTGGCTGATCTGCAGACAATTCTCAAGCTCAGCAGAAAATGAATGAACACTATCAAAGGAAATTTAAGAGGTGGACTGAGACCTCCTGAAGTTCAAAATCAGTATACAATACAACCTCAGCCTGCCAGACACAGGATGGCCAGATTTTGCATTTAAACGCACAAATGGCAACTCATAATAATAAAGTATTTTTTTTAAATGTACCAGATTTTAAATGCAAGAACAGAATACATAAAATGTAATGTCGACTAATGTACAAAAACTTTAGGTGAACTTAAATATTGCACACGTGAATAAGAAATATAAATGACTTAAAAAAGGGGCAATTAAATATTGCACAAAACCGTTATGTTTTGGCTGAGTCGGTTGCTGGCAATAAGTATCAGTTGATAAGAGTTTTTTTGGGTTAAATCGCGTAAATATATATAGATATCGTTAAAACCGCCATCACCCGACACAGCCAACTAGCAAGGGTTGTCACGTAAACAGAACATGCCAATTCGTCACTAGTACAGCACACCGGTGTGTTGGAGAGCCAAGCCACAACATTTACAACTGAGTACAACGTTTCGCCAGTAATTACAACTAGCTTCATCAGGCGACAGCCTCTATTATGGATGATACTGGTCGTGAAAGCCTACATGTTAAAGTATCAGTTGACAGACAAATTAATAAACACAGTGGGAGAGCATTGATTCCATCATCAACGAACAGATGGCCTATTCGTTGATATTTTAATTGCTCACGCAATGCTGGTGACGATCATAGAGGTTGAAACTGGTACAGGATTTTCGTCGTTTAAACAAATACTGAGACAGCGCCATGATACGGTGGGGGTTTTTTTGGTACGTTAGATCGCGTAAATATATAATGTGTCGTTAAAGCCACCATCACCCAACACAACAAATAATTAAGGTTTGTTACGTAAACAGAACATGCCAATTAATTACTAGTACAGCACACATATTGGTCTCGAAAGCCTACGTGTTAAATAGAGAAAAAACATTTGTCTGGAAGGGCCTGTTTGCCCGGAAGGCACATTTCTCAATGAAGCCTCAATATTATTTATTTTGGTGAAGTAAACAATGTTGGTGTATGATAATTGGTTCTTTACCCTTCTATCTGGCAACAAAACTGACACCTGGCAAATGAGGTCCCCATAATGTTGGTGTACATGAAGTCAACGCCTCATTGCGTAATTAATTACACCTACACTTCCACACAACCCGCCTAGACAGCACGTGATGATATTGCACCGGTTCGCTGTTCCGTACTCTGCTGTTCTTGACTTGGGCCTCACCGTGTCGGTAGATAACGCTTGCCTAGGACACCTGCCAACCCAGCAGCCTTTGTTGCTGGGTTGCTGATGGGCCCCAGAGAAGTGGAACCCACCCCTGTAAAGTGTGCCTTATTAGAATTACTGCTGCTGAAACAGATTGCTCCAGAAAACCACGACACCAGCAGCAACGGGAAGCTGCATCTCATTAGTGTCTCTGTTTAGGCATCTAAATTCATGAATGCTGAATGACAAGCTTGTTATTTCATTTCTATGAAATATATTCGGCCTGGATGCCTTCAGGGTTTCTTGTATTTTTGCTTTAAAATAATTCACATGATCGCCGATAAGTACCCGTTTGAATCATGCTTATGTGGAAACTTAGCCAATTACTGTTTAACATGTAGGCATTCCGAACCAATGTCATCCATAATATAGGTTTTTTGGGGTTAAATCGCGTAAATATATAAATGTGTCGTTAAACCCGTCACCACCCGACACAGCTAATTTAGTAAGGTTTGTCACGTAAACAGAACATGCCAATTCGTTACTAGTACAGTATGTTGGAGAGCAAAGCCACAACATTTACAATCTGGCTGTCGCCTGATGAAGCTAGTTGTAATTACTGGCATAACGTCGTACTCAGATTGTAAATGTTGTGGTTTTGCTCTACAACATACTGTACTAGTAACGAATTGGCATGTTCTGTTTACGTGACAAACCTAGCAGATTGGTTGTGTCGGATGGTGGCGGGTTTAACGACACTTTTATATATATTTACGCGATCTAACCCCCCCTAAAAATAAAACCTGTATTAGCCAATTGCTGTATGCCAGAAAAAAATGTTTACTTCACAAATACACAAATAAATGTGGTGTTTTAAATTAGCATCAAAACATTTAATCTGCGATTATAAATGTAATAAAGCATACTCGTATTCAACAACGTAATCTCTTGTAGGTTGATAAATGGTTACCACTCAGAGGGAATCATGGTTGTTTGATGAAAAGACCAGCCACGGCCATGTGAATGGAGAATTTCCACGACCTGCTCAGGGCCGGCAATGGAGGCCACAGTCTTCCCCATTGTGCATTGAGCTTGGCAGATGCTTTAACGAGACTGTGACAATTGCCCATGTATATAAAAAAAAAACAATATAAGAAATATATAACAAAGAACATAGCATCTAATTACAAAAATATTGTATGCAATTGTACAAGAAAAGTCAGTTAAAGGGGTTACATTAAAAAAATAGCTATGGAAATTTAACATGCAAAAAAATAGAGCTGAAGAAAAATGAAGGTTTGGGTGGCGTGGAAGCAAAGTAGACGGCACAATTCATGGCAGCTCCGAATTTGATATCCCACCTGTGGCAGGTGCAGCTGCAGGCCCTCACTTGGGATGGGCTGGCGACCGGGGGTGGCATCCAGCTGCAGATGAAAAATGCCCTGAAGCACAGCCTGCGCTGCTCGAGCCTTCGCCAGCTTCTTATTGCGACCAGATCCCTGAAATGTCTGCCCATCCACCGTCACAGCCATTACAAAGTTCCTGGCATGGCTCTCGCCGATTTCTGCGACAAAGTCAAACCTGAGCCCAGGTCGCATTTCATTGAGGATCATCAGCGGGTTTTTTCCGCACGAGAGAAGAGGGTAAGGTGGGTTGCTTGGCTGCTGACCAGGCACGGCAGGAATGAGCGACGCCTCGCTCCTGCTTGCCTTCGCCTCGAAGCCGTTGAGTCCGAATGTAGACAGAAATGACTCGCTCTCGCTGGAGTCTTGAGAAAAAGAGTCACTCTCCCCAGGTAGGTCAAACTTGTTAAAGTTCATGCCCGGGACGTCGGCCAGGTCGGACGTGAAGTCGGTGATCGCTGCGGTGTTCTGGCCCATGGCTATGTGGGCCTCGCAAGCGTTTGGAAACTGCACGAAGGAGCGCAGGGCCTTCTCGGCCGCCTGCAGCTTTGCCTTCTTCTTTGTGGAGCCCGAACCCTCGAAGGTCTGACCATTCACCTCCACGGCCATGATGAAGACGGGCGCGTGCACGGGCCCCACCTGGTTCACCATCTTGTACTGAATGCCCGGCTTCACCTCGTTGAGCTGCATCAGGGCGTTCTTTGGCACAGCCGGCCCTGGCGCCCTCCTCCGTTTTTTCGGCCGAAAACGCGGGAACATAGAGCCATTGCTGCCCTCCTCCAGGGGCCTTTTGCGTTTCGTAGAGCCCCTGTTCGCGGGAATGCTGGCTATGGAGCACAGTCCGAGAGCGGGCTCCGTGATGGACATGTTGTTTCCGATGTGACGATTCTCTTTAACGTCGGTGCTGCAAGAGTCTGAAAAGGGATATTGTAACACGGACAAGCAAATGTGTGCATTCAAATAGAATAAAGACCACGATTGTATTATTTTAAAAAAAAACACCAATTAAGAATAATACATTTTGACACGTGCTAATACACTTGCAGCCATGTGATATTACTGCACACATTTTTAGGTCACGTGTTTAGGAAGCCACGCAGCTTCCCAAGTTGACAGTTGCTCACGATCTGGAATTCATTTCCACAAAATAGAAAAAAGCAGACCTAATATGTATATTGGAACCGCTGTGGTATAACTGTAATTACATGGAAAATAGAAACCCTTTCTGGCAATAACTCAACACATTTCAAGACTGCCACAAAAGTAAGAACTAGATCATGGATGACATTCAGGCAATGGTCTTTCATCATTGCCGAGAAGGAGGGACATTGCATTTGTTTCCCCTTTGAGGGCAGTCTTCCCGATTAATGCGTTGACTGCCAATGCAGAATCACAAAAAAAATTATTGCAAAAATTCATGAACTTTGCTTTGACAGCTATGGAATGAAATGTTCTTGCCATTACATACTCCAAAGTCTGTGAAATAATTGCAAAGGCATTTTTATTTTATTATTGCATAATTATTTGTGGATTATATGATATACTGCAATGTGATATTTTTACGATAGCTTATATTCTATATACGTGTATCTGTCAAAAAAAAGCGTACACATCAAGCATATAATATCGAACATCAGGTTAAATCGGTCATGGCTCTCTCTCAGGCAAACTGAACGGCGAGGGCAGGTTGACGTTGACCCATTACGGGGGTTTATTAGGTCGTTGTTGCAGAGGGGTGTTTAGGAGGTGCAACGTGGAGATGGAGGAGAAATGTGAGTGGTGTACTCAGTGGCTCATTGCTCGAGTGTAAACATACACACAGGCAAGTGGAGAACACGATCTCTAGCATTAAATCATCGTCATCATCAACAATGACTAATCCACTGCTGGATGAAGGCCTTTCCCCCCCCCAGCCACTATGATCCCTCATCATCGTGCACCGCAAAAGTCCACCTAGCACCTATACACGTGATGATTCTATCGCTCCATCTCCTGGATGGACGTGATTTCGGGCATGTTTCTCTCCTGCCACTCCGTCACTAGCCTTGACCATAGCCGAGGTTGCCTCGAAGTGTTGTCCACCTGCAGTAACTGCGGTGTTATTGGTCACCACCCAATGCTATTTTACATTATGTAATGCAGAAAGTAGCGCAAAATGTGGTTCGTACATTTAGGCTGTTGTATCAAAGCCACGGCCAATAAGAGCCAATTAGATGTATGTCGGGGTATATAAAGTAATAGCAGCAAACACACCATTACATATTTTCATGGGGTGAATAAGTAGAACAAACAACAGAATAAGTAGCACACTTTGCACACGGTGTGCACGCACTATCGTGGAGTTTGCAATGAAAAAATAGATTTTGGATGCCATACATGGTGCATTCCACACTAAGCATGCACTCACAACTATGTTCTATGCATCACAGAACCTGTGAAAAGCTCCCAGAAGCGGGTGACTACACTTGCAAAGGTAGCCGGTTGTCCATTCAATACATATCACGTTAGAGTTACTTGAGAAATATACTATTAAAGATACAATTAACGCGTTTGCTGATATGCCCCTTCATAACATCTTACACTGTGGTTCCTAACTGTCAAGTTGAAATTACAAAATTAACTGTGATCTTGGCGACCACGTGTCCATATTTCATACATATTTGTGCACACTGTTTAACAAATACCAACGGTGGTAGTTGACTGCTGGCTAAGACTTGCTGATGGAATTCCATGAGAGGCAGTTCACCGGATCTAACAGCAGATGAAAACACTTTCATGGCCAATATGGCCACCACCAACCAGCTTTTCCTACCTTTAGAAAGTGAGCATTTGTATTCCATTTCTTTTTACGTCACCAATATAATTTAAGTACAGTATGTATGATATATATATATATCCATGTAGCATGCGTAAGAATTGATGAATTGCGAATAGAAAACTATGAACGTAATTGTGGAGACTGGAGAAGTGCTTAATGAACCCCAACAGGAGAGAAATAAGAATAAATCACATGCAAACGCTGTGCATACTCCACACGTAAGTATAGTATCCAGGGTCGGCGAGATACTCACTCATATTCTCTTCATTCTCATCCACTCCAGTCACATTTGGTTGCGCTCTGAATTGACAAACAGCTGTGGTCCTTTCTGAAAGTGGGAAAAAAAAGGACACGGATTTGTATTATTCAAGCTCTATTTCACATTCATCCCAGAGATACAGCTCCTTCCTGAAAAAAAGACACAAGACTCAGCCATTGTTATATCATGATGAGTGAAACAGATGACACTAGACTGTAAAAAAGAATTTCAAGGAAAGGAATCTGCCGATTAGCCTACATACACCATTTAGGTTCCTCTGTGTTTTTTTTTCAGATTGCATTTGAACACACACACACACGCGCAGTGGCTATATAGGCAGAACGACCGTTTACAAAACCTGCTTAAGTAGAGTTTCCATTTTAAAGTCAATGCCCCCACGACTTACAAAGCATAAAGTGGTGAGTTAAAAATCTCAGCCCATCATTTCTCTTTGGGTTGATACAATCACGACCGTTTTGCGAGAAATTCCAGTCGTCCGATGGAAAGAGCAAACCCACACCCCGAATGGGACTGTAAAATTGTCGCGTCCAAGCCAGCTCGTCGCAGCAGAAAAAAAAGTTCCGACAACTTTCGTGATTTACCCCCCCACTTCCCCCAAAGGGGCCCCCTCTACCCCACCCTTAAGATACAATAACATTTCAGTTCTGCACAGCGCACTTAACAAATTAAAAGTAGTAATTTTTGGGTGCTGTACAAGGTGACCAGGGTGAGTATAACGCTTTAGCTAAATATAAAAAAAAGTTTCATTAAGAAACGCTCACGCAAAAAAAATAATTGCGTGGAAGAATCGAATGGTAAACCTAATGGTACATATAAGGGGTTATTTAAACAACATTTGTACGTGATGAACTGAAAGAGAGAGTTAGTTTGTGAAGAATTATTATGTATATATGGGGATGCATTTATGCACCAATGTGTGGGTGCTGTGCTTTGTTTTTCTCTTGACTTTATCAACACCGTGACCTCGGTTTCAGCTCTGCATTGGTGTCTAATTTGCATCTCTGTGAAAGGTGTCAAGCCTATCGATAAATATAACTCCCTAAAACTTGTATAGTACTAGCAGTGCAAGTTTACAGCTACTTTTCAAACACATCTTATTCAGGACATGTAAAAAATGTGTTGATGTTTTTTTTTTCCATCACTGAATATAAAATAAACAACACAACACGTTTACTTTTCATGGACGGTCTCGTAAAAAAGTGTTTTTTGAGGTGGCACAATGGAAATTGGAGTTGCATAACAGCTCAAGGTGTCAACTATGATATCCCCTTTTCTTGATAAGCAATGAGAGTCAAATGTAATGCAGCACAAGTCAATAATGTTTGACAAGGACATAATCCAAGTTCTCAAGGGAAGTGGAATTTCATCTATTGGCTGACCTTTGAATTTTCATAGTTTCTTCATCCAGATTTGACTTTATTGCTGAGTCTCATCAGAAAGCTCTGTCCTTATAAAACAATGACAATGTATGTTATGGACAGGAAATAAACAATAGTACTGATGGGACTCAGAGACGCAGTGAATTATAATGGGTTGCCGCGTTTAAACAAATTAATCTGGGAAATATAAATCGGGAAGGCCACAGATCATTTAATGAATGAAATGCTTTTGTGCGATTGAAAAGAGTCTTATTAAACCCCTTCATAAATATCACTACAAAAAATCGAAATCACTCTCCACTCAGCTTCCCCTCGTCCCACGTGTATTGTTTGCCTACGTAGTATCTACTGTGACGCCCATACAGGTGCTATTGTACAGCTATTTGAAGTCAAACTGCATTTTATTCTCCTCAGTCTCCCAACTAAAAAAAAAATCAGTTGGCATTCCACACAAGGGCGGTCACTGCAGAGGCGGTCACTGCATCGCCAACTTTTAGATGCGCTTCTGTGTCCGTCTGGAACGCTCTTCCTTCCAATATTCGGAAGCCACTGGAGCTATGCACTTTCAAATCTCGACTCAAAACTCATTTATTTAGAACTTCTATTTTGTGTTTTGTTTGTTGTCCTTCCCTGCACCTACGTACGGTGCGAGAGAAGTTTAACGTGCAAACACAAGCCACACTGTCCAACAAATCTGACGACCAACATCACCCTCGAGAGGTCTTTATCTAGCAGTATGTTGACAAATAGCTATAAACGAAACGCACCATATGTTATGTTATAAGTTCGAGTTAATACTGGTGGTCATGGTTTATTTTAAGTCTGTGCTCATATAATACTGCCAGCATATTCCAATAGGTGTTTTTAAAGGCTACCATTGTAATATGATAGCGAGCAGTCTAGTTTACTCAATGATGAATGGATCCTAACCAATGGGGCCAATGGATACACACCACGTCCCTCCATACTGCATCACTGAAACATTTTAGACTCAAAATATATATTCAAAACAGAAGAAGCAATCGAAAATTGCTGCAATGCAAGTTGCGCTTCAACACAGGCAATGAGAGGACGAAACTAATTTAGGGGAAAATCATACGTAGTTAACATTGAAACATCGAGGGCAGAAGGTGGCTTGTTTAGGCCAACTCTAAACAATAGATAGAGATGCCTAGAGGATAAAATAGATTAATTGGATATCTTTAAATAATGAATGAACTGTAATGAATAGTGCATTAAAAGAAGGGGAAAAGATTACAGAGCAGAGAGCAAATTGTTCAACACTTTAAATATATCATGTATGAAGAGGAAAATAATAAATGTAACAAGCAATGGAACAACTGCAGATTGAATGCACATCAACTCTGTCAAACGAATCGGGAACGAATGGGAAAAGGGATGAGAGAATGCAGCACACAACTGATAGAACATGCAAGCAATGGGCGGGAACGTGAAAGCAGCAAAAGGAACTTGACTATGAGCAATTCACAAATGGTTGTCCCTGATACGGAGAGAGATTTAAAATGAGTGGAGGGATTTGTGCACTCCAAAGAAGACGGCAGATATAAAAGAGACCCTTTTATATGTTTTGATGGATGGTTTGCTAAATACAGAACTTGTGCCAGCCCTGTTGATATACTGATTTCAGAAGCAAGTCGGGATTAAATTGTAACTTTAAAGGAACAATTTCTACTGTTCCACACTATTGTGATAATGCCCACGTTCCTATTATTATTACCACCATGTACGTAGTTAATCTTCCAAGCCTGTGACTACCCTCAACAATACCCCCTTGCTTCCATTTGTACAGAAATGTTCTGGAACCTCTCGTGTATTCATCCTTCCTACTCGAACAAAAGCCCAACAATCGCACAGTCCCTCCCCAAGCCTCTGACCCTCCACTTTTCTCACAGACTCCTCCATCCGTCGTACTTGCTCTGTCCTCTTAACAGCCCCTTCACCACAGCCTCATCCAGCCTCCTCCCTCGGCTCACCCTCCTCTCCTCCGTAATCCCTCGCGCAATTGCGACGCACAGGACATCGCGACTCGTCTTACCCCCGTAGCAGAGAAAACAGGGTGCCAGATAAGCGAATGCGCACATAAGGGGCTTGCTCGTCTCTGGATTGTCCGAACAAATAGCCGTGACGAGCAGCCTCGTTGACGCCCCTTTCTAAATCCACTGCTGGATGAACGTTTCCGCCGTGACGCGTTGGTCTTGGCAAATATTTAACCATACTTCACCATGCCGGTCAGGGTGCGGGGTCAAACCCACGACCTCCTGCGTGCCAGGCGAGGGAGAGTGCATCTCTTTCGCCATCACGGCACCGCAATAAACGCGTGACATCTTAACAAACGAGGGCGCCTTCACGCGAGGATATGCAGGCACATATTTATGTATTGCGTAAATTAGGTGCGGTTTCCTACTACGAGTGGCCATCGGATATTACGTGCGTCAGTACTAACCGCAGGAAGAGTGCTCTTTTGAGCAGCGTGCCTAGGCAGACGATGCATTCTTAAGTTAACATCACCACCTCATAACCCTTCCCATCGTTTGCGCACGTTTATTATTCCACTGCCTCTTGTTAACATGGCACTCTTGACAGCAGACAAGCGGCTGCATCATTTTCTCATCTGTAGGCAACGCCGAAGTCAACTTCGGCAACCGAGGGCGACGGTGATTAGCTTCTCTGAAATGTGACATGTACAAAAGACACACGCTCTGGAGTTGCTTGATAAGAAACAAGCCCTCAAAGGAATATAATAAAGTTCCCACAGTGCAAGAATGCCAGGAAATTGTCTAAAGTCACGAGATATATTGATAATTCAGCCGGCACTCTGCGTCACAAGACAAGTATGCATTTGCTTGACCAGTGGTGTTTCGTACTTCTTGGTTCTTTCGGTAAAGTCACGGTAGGTATAAAATAAAGAAACAATTGTTTCTTGCTGTGGTTGTCCCACCTGATGACGGACGCTTGTGTTGCGCCCGAAACGTCGTGATTTCATTGATTTTATTTTCTACCTACATGACTTTACCGAAAGAACCAAAGAGTATGGATCCCTGCAGTCACGAAAACTTCAAATCTGGATTCAGTGGCGTTTCGTTGAACACGTAGTAGGATTTCGTGATCAATATTATTCATAATCAAGGCTATTGGGTTAGATCGCGTAAGTATAAATGTGTCGTCATTCTCACCGCGCCAGCGCAGCCGAAAAGTGAGGGATTTGTCACGTAAATAAAACGTCAATTAGTTACTACTTCAGCCCACCGGTGAATTGGAGAGTAAATCCACAACATTTACAGTTTGAGTCCCGTGACGTTTCGCTGGTAATTACAACCAGCATCATCGGGCGATTTGCCAGAATCATTCCCTCAAAGGAATATAATGAAGTCCCCACAGTGCATCGCCCGATGATGCTGGTTGATGTAATTACCGGTGAAACGTCGTACTCAAATTGTAAATGTTGCGGATTTACTCTCCAACACACCGGTGAGCTGAAGTAGTAACTATTTGGCGCTTTTTTACGTAACAAACCCCTTACTGTGTCGGGTGGAGGAGGGTTTTGACACATTTATACTTACGCGATCTAACCCAAGAACCTTTATTAGAGTGACGTTTCAAAAGAGCAAGATGGACATCAGCTATTTTGCAGCGCAAGAGAAGTCCGTG